CGGGCGGCCGGCGGCTCCCTCCCTCGAGTTCCCCCCAGACCGCCCGCCGCTGCACTCACCGCTCTGGCTGTCGCTGACGTTGGGCCGGGGGCCGTCCTTGAGCGCGAAGCCGCCGGGCCCGTTGCCGTACAGGATGGAGGTGTAGGTCTTGTTGTCATGGGCTTTGCTGGGGGCTAGGCCTGCAGGGAGGAGGGACCCGGTGATCGCCCTGACCGCAGCCAGGGGGCCTCCGCGGGCTACACCTAGCAAACCTAGGCACTTTGGGCCTCGCCGGCTTCATCCTCACAAGAACCCTACAAGGCGGTTGCTATCGTTGCCCCGTTTGACAGATGAGGAAAGGGAGAGTCGGAGCAATTTCTGCCACATAACTGAGGAAACCCTGCCACCCTCCTGGGCCTACCGAAAATGGAGCTGCCTCGAAGCGTGTAGCCACCAAAAGAGAAGACGTGGGAGTGGTCAGCGGTGACAAGGGTCAGAGTATCCTTCTCGCTCGTGAGCTGGCTGGCCTTGTCGATGGCAGAATCGAACATGACGGCCTCCGTCAGTGCCAGATAAGCCCTGCCGTCGTGATGACCGTGGTCGATGCGGCCTCCTGCGGGCAGGGCGCGTGGAAGGTGGACGATGCCCGGCACGCCCTGGCCATTCCCACTTCCGTGCTCCGCAAGGGGCTGCCTGCCACGCACCCTCCACAAACAGGTAGAAGCCCCGGGGGTTCCTCCTCAGCAGGTGCAGGGCCGCCTCCGTCATCTCCATCAGGGATGGGTCCCGGGTGTGGTTTCGGTGGACCTCGTATTTCGTGTCTCCTGGCTCAAAGAGGCCTGTGGGGAAGGGGGCCGGTGGTGACGGGTAGGCCGGGGAGTGGGTGTGAACATCTGGGCGCACGCTTGGCCCTCTGAGTACACGGGAGGCCAGGGCGGGAACGTGGGGGTGGCTGGGGTCATTACCCATGAGGTGTGTTACGGAGGGGTCCTGGGAAGCCTGAAGGAGCGCCTGGCGGTTCCACACGTACCGGGCACCC